AGCCCCAGCAGTCCAAGCCACCATAGCAGCTCCAGCCCCAGTCCGGTCTTTGGCCTGCCACGGAGCTTCACCCTGTTCCTGCAGCCAAGACACTTGAGGTTGACGTCCCTTCAGCACGGGGAGGTTTTTGGTGTGCCGAAAAGAATGTCCCCAGTGCACCGACAGAAGCGTCCCCGCCAAGGTTACCACCACCCTGTACGTCACAGAGAATGCTCCTCAGGAGGTCCCAGCTCCAGGTTCCTGGCAGCGGCCGCCTCCACAGTCACACCCTGTTCCCGTTCCTGTTTCCCAGCAGATCGGCCAGACCACTGAGTCCACCCTTTGGCATGGTTGGCCAAACGTCCCTGCTGAGAGTCAGAAACCCAGGGGCACTGATGACAGTGTCCTCGACAGGGTGCCAAGTCTGCAGTGTGCCGATGGTGACATGCCAACAGAGGCGGTGCTTCAGGTCCCGTGGGGCTTGGCTTGACCCCCGAAGCCATCTCGGTCCCCCTGCTCCCAGCTCCTGAGGGGTTCGCCGACAGTGACGGCACCCCCTTCTTCCTGTTCTCAAGTGGGTCGGCCGGCATGCCGATGCCACCATCGAGCCTGTTCCTGGCCCCGAGCAGGTCAGCCAGTGCGCCAATGCCACCACCAGGCCTGTTCCTGTTCACATGGGGGCCAGGGCCACCTCGGCTGCGGTCTGGTCTGGTGGTTCGTCGCTGGTCCTGCCCCTGAGGCCACCCTCCTGGTTCTCTGTCCGGCGCCGCAGACAACTCCCAGACCGGCGATCTCCTGCCAGGTCCTGTGGTTGTCCTGAGTGGCCTCTCCGTCTCTCCTGTATGTATGGATTATTGGACTTCTCTCTCTGACCTCTCGTCTCTGCTAATCAGACCAGGCTTTCCCCAAAATATTTTCCAGTTGTCTATGAAGCCAACGTCGTTTTCTGGACACCACCTAGACAGCCAGAGACATTATTTTGATGAAGTTACACACCAAATCAACATTAATTTTAGTGACTTC